GTATTTCCTGAATTTGCATATTGGCCTATCTTGCTGGTTGGGAAAGTTTTCCTAAATAATATCCTGAAGAGTGTTTTCCCTTGGTTCCATTCTCTCCATCACTTTCAGGTACATCAATCAAACGTAGGTTTGCTCTTTTCTCATAGTCCCTTATTTCTTGGAGGCTTTGTTTGTTACTTTTCATTTTTTTTTTCTCTAATCTTGTCTTCACACTTTGTTTCATAAAGCTGATCTTCAGCCTCTATATCCTTTCTTCTGCTTGATGCAATCAGCTATTGATAACTTGTATATGCTTCACGCAGTTCTCGTGCTGTGTTTTTCAGCTCCATCAGGTCATTTATGTTCTTCTCTAAACTGGTTATTCTAGTTATCAATTCCTGTAACCTTTTGTCAAGGTTCTTAGCTTCCTTGCATTAGGTTAGAACATGCTCCTTTAGATCAGAGGAGTTTGTTATTACCCACCTTTTGAAGCCTACTTCTGTCAGTTCATCAAACTCATTCTCTGTCCAGTTTTTTCCCTTGCTGGCAAGGAGTTGAGCTCCTTTAGAGAAGACGCCTTCTGGTGTTTGGGAGTTTTCAGCCTTTTTGCACTGTTTTTTTCTCATCTGCATGGATTCAGCTACTTTTGGTCTTTCATGTTGGTGACCTTCAGATGGGGTTTTTGTGTGGATGTCCTTTTTGTTGATGTTGATGCTATTCCTTTCTGTTTGTTAGTTTTCCTTCTAACAGGCGTCTCTGCTGCAGGTCTGCTGTAGTTTGCTAGAGATCCACTCCAGACCCTGTTTGCCTGGGTATCACCAGCAGAGGCTTTGGAGAAGCAGAGATTGCTACCTGTTCCTTCCTCTGGAAGCTTCGTCTCAGAGGGGCACCTGCCAGATGCCAGCCAGAGCTCTCCTATATGAGTTGTCTGTTGACCCCTGCTGGGAGATATCTCCCTGTCAGTGGGCATGGGGGTCAGGGACCCACTTGAGTAGGCAGACCCACTTGAGGCAGCTCTGTTCCTTAGCAGAGCTCAAGCGCTGTGCTAGGAGATCCACTGCCCTCTTCAGAGCTGGCAGGTAGGAACATTTAAGTCTGCTGAAGCTGTACCACAGCCACTCATTCCCCCAGGTGCTCTGTCCTAGGGAGATGAGATTTTTATCTATAAGTCCCTGACTGGGCTGCTGCCTTTCTTTCAGAGATGCCCTGCCCAGAGAAGATGAATCTAGAGAGCTGGGCTGATATTTTTTAATGGGGAATAATTTTTCTTGTTGGTGTAGTTTATCTTTTTTTTTCCAACCCATAAATGATAATTTTGTGAGCTTTTTGGAAGAAACTGACAATTTTTGAAAATTTCACATTTAATATTTACCTTATTTGAACTATAACAAGTAACAGTGAATTTAAAACAGGCAAAGAAAGCAAGCAATGTACTTCATGAATTTCACGTCAGGGCTTATTTTCTCCTCACTCAAAAAGAATGTTAAGCTGTGTTAATCTGCAAGGAATTTTGTGAATCTTGACATAATGTTGGCTGTGTTAGGAGTGCCTGAACAGAGTACAGACATCTTGAGAGATTTAACTTACACAACTCAATTTTCATAAGCATTTCAGTAACTATCTTCTGAGTAATCAACACTCGAGGGAAAGGTTTTAGACAGTATTTTTAGAAATTTGACAGGAATGGAAAATCAGAGGAAGCCACCTAGAAAATTTTGCTCCATGGCAGACATGAAGAATTCTTTGTTAACATGATACACTACAGTGTATCATGTACTATAAACAATACCCTCCAAAGGTCAGAGAGGGTCTTTGAGGTTATCCACTGACATTTTCTTTCCAGGGTAGGGATTCTGTCTTTAGCATCCTTGAGAAATTATCTTGTATTTTCTAGGTAGCATGGGATGTATAAAAGTAAGAACAATGTTAGGGGTAAAAGGAAATAATATTATGTGAGTTCAGAAGAAGGAGGTATTACTGACTGGGTAATCAGAGATTCTTTGCAGAGGAGGTGGCTCATAAGCAGGAATTTACTTGTGAAGGACAGGGAGAATTTCACTTGAGAAAAGGTCTGGCCCAAGCAAATATGTAGAAATTAGAAAGCACAGGCTGTGTTTGGGGAACAGCAGATAGAATTAAGGGCTGGAGTCTCAGTAGGACATGCAATGTTGATTGTCCTCCAGGAGCATTGCAATCACTCCTAACAGAGCATATTTGCAATATGGCAGGCAAGGTTTAGGCCAGTAAAGTGTTTCCTTCAGTTCTAATTGAGTTAATCTTCATTAGAACCATTTTTCATTGGGATGAATGGAAGAAGAGTCTGTGATTCAGAACAAGTTGAATAAATATGCACCAAATACCATGTGCTTGTGAATATTTATGACATGCCATCAGTGTAAATTATATTTACTCTATGTTTCAAAATATTTTTGTTAGCAAACATTTGCTTCAAAAAGATGCATGTCTGTACTCTCTACACAAAGTTATGTATTTCATATTGATAAAATTTCAAATGCAAAACAAATACTCTTTCTTATGTATAGACACAGGGAACATGGAGGTTCTGCACCTATATGGAAGTGAGGAACAGAAGAAACAGTGGCTTGAGCCTCTTCTTAAAGGGGACATTACCTCTTGCTTCTGTATGACAGGTAAATGCAAATCACCATTCTCCCCTTGTGTAGTCAGTCATATGGAATTACTGTGGATAAGCTGAAGAAACAGGATGTGATTCTGTGTTTCAGTCAAATTTGCCATTGGCCAAAAATGTGAATATATTTATTTTGAGCCTGTTACTAAATGTTGGCATTTTCAAATGTGCAGAAAAAAATTATCCTCTCCTTTGGCAAAATATCAGATGATGTTCTCTAGTAGCCTGCCATCACATTTGCAGCAGAGTAAATTTAGTTTCACAATCTTTTGATGTCATTTCTAAAATTGCTATCTGTGAATATTTAATATCTTTTTTGCCCTTATGTATGAAATATTTATCTTTGTGTTAATTTTATATTGATACTTATAAAATACTCAACTTAAAAAATATAAACAGAAAAATAGAACTTTCACCAGTACTGGACATATGGCTCAAATTATAATCATGTGGGAAAATGAACATGTTAATAAAAACAGATTTGACATCATTTGTACCTAGGAAACATTAAGAACTCTTCAATATAGAAAAAAAATCATTGTTTTGTGATTTAGTTTAGAATTATTTGCTTGGCCATAATTTTTAAGTGCTATCAATAATGGCCACATTTTATGTTTCCTGTAATATTGTATATATTTATACAGTAGTCCTCTTTTATCTGAAGGGGTTACATTCCAAGACCCCTAGCTGGTGTCTGAAAACTGGGGATAGTCCTGAACTCTATTTAGACTGTAATAACTAATAATAGAACAATTATAACAATACTCAGAAGGGTACACGATTTAAAAATTTTGAAGTGTTTACTTCTGAAATTTGTCATTTAATATTTTTGGAATGTAGTTGACCTATCATAACTGAAACCTCAGATGGCAAAACTACAGGCAACAGGGGACTGCTATAGTAGCAGAACTGATCTCCATTTAAATCAGTAATAGGCATTTATTGAATATCTACACTATGATGTATTGTCTACAAAGCACTAGGTAGAGGTTACAGAATAAGTGGAATACACAGCCCTCTTTTTAAAAAAAGTCTGAGTCTCAGGTTTTAGAAACAGAACACATAGGATATCTGAAGGACTCATTTAAATGAGTGTCATATTAACAAGTGCAGATTGCTGTGATTGAGAGCTAGACAGTTCTGAAGTGCCATGCAGTAAAGCAGTTGTCTAAGGGTGTCCCATGGAAAACTTTGAAGACCTTAAATGTTGAACAGGCTTTAAAGAATGCAAAGTATATAAATCAGTGAAAGCATTCCTGATGGAATTTGCAAGGCACATTAGAAATTGCATAAGTAAACTATATGGGTGGGGTGAAGTCTGTCTTGCCAATCAATATTTAGTACACATCTCCGTTGTGAGAAATAGAAAACAATTCTTTTATCTACTTTTGCTGATTGGAGAAAGGACTGAGTTGTATACCAAGTCATATATCAATGAGGAACCAAAAATAACAGTTCAAAATACTGATCCCAATGTTCAAGATACTTCATTCATTCACTCATTCTTCCAGTGCACATTTGTTGAATACCTACTGTGTGTAGGCTATGGAAAAAACAGGATGGAATGTGGAATGATAAGAAATTGAAAAAGATAAAGATGCCTTTGTTTTTAAAGTTTTCATATCCTTACCTAAATCTGCTGATGATATCTGCCTGTCTGTAATTTCAGCCTTTGTTTATTTATAGAACCTGATGTAGCTTCAAGTGATGCCACAAATATTGAATGCAGCATCCAACGAGATGGAGATAGCTATGTAATTAATGGCAAGAAATGGTGGAGCAGTGGTGAGTGTTCAGCCTAATTTTTTCACCTAACACACTGATCCTTTGTGCCAGATGCTATGGTAGAATAATGCTATGATAAATAGTGATCACTTTCATGATCATAATTCTTTAAATTCTGCATGTGTAGGCCAGGCATGGTGGCTCACACCTGTAATCCCAACAATTTGAGAGGTTGAGGCTGGTGGATCACCTGAGGCCAGGAGTTTGAGACTAGCCTGGCCAACATGGTGAAGCCCTGTCTCTACTAAAAATACAAAAATTAGCCGGGCATGGTGGCAGGTACCTGTAATCTCAGCTGCTCAGGAGGCTGAGGCAGGAGACTCGCTTGAACCCTGGCAGCAGAGGTTGCCGTGAGTCAACGTGGCACCACTGCACTTCAGCCTGAGCAACCAAAGCAAAACCCTGTCTCAAAAAAATGAAAAATTAATTAGTTAATTAATTCTGCATGTGAAAGCATTTTCAAATTTAGAAATAGCATTTAAAGAAAAAGTAATTTTAAAATAACTTATCTTGGTTAGGTGATGTTTAAGAGCAGAAAACGTCATTTTTTTGTAGTTTTAGAGATAAAATTCATTAGTGCATACTATTTTGACCAATGTAATTGCTAGCAAAATTTAATTTTAGTAGGAGCATATTACATAAATTACAATAATTTACAGCAAATATTTTTAAAATGATAAGCTGTACATGTTATTAACATTAATTTATTGTACATATTTTACTTACTCAAAAAGAAAGTGTTTAAATGAAAATTGGGACACTTTATGCATGGGATAATATATGTTTTAGTCAACCCTCAGTGATAGACTCGTATAAATGGATAAGTTATTTAGGAAGTTAAGAAATTGGAACCCAGATACAAATGATAACCTGAGGATTACACCTAGACTATACATGATAAACCTAACATTTGTCAGGATAACCAGTTATTACTAAGAAAGTTTATATCATGGAAGCAAATTCTGTCTTTAGGAACTTATCAGGAATGTTTTGAAAAGGATCAGAAAAGCTTATTATAGTTTTTTGCTGTTGTTTTGGAGGACGTGGATTTTATAAAATTACTTACAAACCAACAAAACAGGAAAAGAAAAGATAGGTTGAGTTCTGCTGCATAGTTATTCAAGTACTACAATTATGCAGGGAAATAGTTCTTATATTCAAACTTAGATAATTAAAAATAATTATAAATGCCTTTTAACATGAACCTCTTTAATAATCTGTTTTAGATGGCCTAATTTATAGCATAGTAGGTTTGTTTGTTTGTTTAACTTCTTTTATTTTGAAATTATTATAAATTCACAGGAAGTTACAAAGATGATACAGAGTATTCCTGGTTACCCTTCATCCAGTTTCCCCCCATTTCCTGGTCAAAATCAGGAAATTAAAATTGGTACAATGTATGTGTACAGTTCTATGCCATTTTATCACTGTGTATTTGTATAACCACCGCTGCAACCAACATACAAAACTATTCTATCACCACGAAACTCTTCTTCTTTACAGCAGATTGTTTTTATTCACTTATGCCCATTACTACTATTTTCCTATATTGTTTATTTTAATTTTCATGTTTTGTACATTTATTATCTTATTTCCTCTTCTCGGCTTTTATTCTCCCCCTTCCCCAAACCCATTCTTTATTATAAGTTGCAACCATGACATTTGAAATTTGAGTTTCAGGATAATACAGATGTTTTATTTGAGGGGGAAGCATCATTCCTATGTATCCAAGCAAAAGGCAGAGCAGTTTTACCTTCAAATGCTAAAAGTACTGGTTGGCTCTGTAGGACACTCAGTATCAAAAGGAAACTCCTCCACACTTTGTCTCTGTCTTCTCCAGGACCCATACTTCTTGGCCACTTTCATAATATAGTTTTTGAAAGATGCTCCCATAAAAACATAAAGGATTGGATTGAGGCAGCTGTGAAAGAGTGCGATGCTTTCTGTAATTTGGATGGCAATGTCCAGGCGTTTGCTCATGTTGCAGTTGGTGATCAGGGAATAGATGATGTCTATGGCTCGGCAGAACTTGACAATGTTATAAGGCAACTGAGTGACAATGAAAACTATAACCACTGTGAGCAGAACTTTGAGGGGCTGAGATATTTTAATGTTTGGCATCTTCATGAGTGTTCTTGCCGTGATAAAGTAGCACACCCCCATGATAAGAAAGGGTACTACAAATCCGATGCAGATTTCTAGCATTTGAATTGATGCTTTCATTGATGTTCCTAGGTAGTGGGGAAAAGTGGGAATGCACCTAGCATTGTCATTTACTGTATAAAAAACCAGCTGGGGTATACTCAGCAAGATGGCAGCCATCCAGACACAGAAACAGATCACCCAGCATGCTTTTCCCACTCCTGATTGTCTGGGACTTTTAGTTACTGCCACATATCTGTCTATGCTGATACAAGCCAGAAACTGCATTCCAGAGACAAAGTTTACTGTGTACAATGCTGAAGTTATTTTGCACATTATTTTCCCTAAAACCCACCCATGAACTGCATTAACAGCCCAAAAAGGCAGAGTGAACAGAAGGAGCAAATCTGCCACAGCCAAATTCAGGATGTACACATCTGTTTTGGTTCTCTGTTTCTTGTAATAGGCATAAATTGCCACTACCGTGGAATTGCCTGCAAGTCCAATGACAAAAGCTATTGTGTGGAATACAGGGAGGAAAACTTTTGCAAATTTTCTGACGTCTTCTTTGATACAGATCAATTCATATTGACTGTAGTCGTGAGTGCCATTCATTTCATTTTCCTCATAATAATAATCTGTTGACTGGTTCTGTTCCAAATCCATGGTTCCAATCTAAATGGCAAAGAGAATACAGGATACTTGTCTAAATATGCTTAAAAGGAAACAGTTTTTGGCGGGGCATTGTGTCTCATACCTGTAATCCCAGTGCTTTGTGAGGCCAAGACGGCTTCGAGACCAGCCTGACCAAAATGGCAAAACCCCATCTCTACTAAAAATACAAAAATTAACCAGGCGTAGTGGCACTCACCTGTAGTCCCAGCTACTCAGGATGCTGAGGCAGGAGAATCGCTTGAACTCATGAGGCAGAGGGTGCAGTGAGCCAAGAACGTATCACTGCACTCCAGCCTGGGTGACACAGCAAGATTCCATTGCAAAAATAAATAAATAAACAAAACTAAAAATAAAAGGAAGCCATTTTCATCAAGCTGTTTCGTTCTTTCCTATAGAATAGACTGTTGCTGTAACATATGGGAGCCTGAATCTGCCACTCTGAAATAGTTTAATGGGAGCCACTTTGGAATATGACCCCAAGATTAGTTATTCATGCTTTACTTTTACAATTATGTGTGAAAGAGCTGGGATTTGCACAGGACAATAAATGTAATGCCCTGGAGAGTTTTCTTAATCATTAAATCCTAAATAAAAGACTTTTATGTAAAAATGATTTTTAAAATATGAAAATTTAATTAGATTTTAACTAAAAAGAATAGTGTTATAATCTTTACATACATAATTTTGTGAATCTCAAAGTGTATCTGCAATAAGCTGGGTGTGGTGGCTCACTAAGTAATCCCAGCACTCTGAGAGGCTGAGGTGAGTGGATCACCTGAGGTCGGGAGTTCGAGACCAGCCTGGCCAACATGGAGAAACCCTGTCTCAACTAAAAATAAAAAATTGGTTGGGTGTGCTGGCGCATGCCTGTAATCCCAGCTACTCAGGAAGCTAAGGCAGGAGAATCGCTTCAACCTGGGAGGTGGAGCTTGTAGTGAGCCAAGATCCCACCATTGCACCCCAGCCTGGGCAACAAGAGCAAAAGCTCCATCTCAAAAAAAAAAAATTTATATACATATATAAATTTTTTTTAATCTGCAAAAGAGATATATATATATATCTGTAATACATTGAATAAAAATGAAAATAAATTAGTAAATTATTTGGTTTACTTAAATTTATTTTTGATTTTTATGTTATTTATAAATTTAATTTAAATAAATTAAATACGTTCTCACAGCATTTGTACTAAATGTCAGTAGTTGCCTTTTATAAAACTAGATCTCCTTTAGCCAACTGCCCTCCAAAACTGGTCACTACTTGCTTATTGTATACTGTGTTTTAGTAGCACCACTACCCTCTAGTCAACTAAGCCGTAAGTCGGCTTCATTCTTGTCTTCTCTCTCACCTTCATCCCTGATTCCCAATAAGTTCCTAAGTTCTGATTCTGCCTTCCAAATAAGTCTTGAATCTGTCTTCTCAGTCTGCCCTCTTCCACACATTTGCACAATTCAACGATGATGTTTCCACCTGGCCTACTGCTATTTCCTTTTTAAAAAAATATTTTATTTTATTTTTAAATTTCAATCTGTTTATTTATTTATTTATTTATTTATTTATTTATTTTGAGACCAAGTTATGAGACTGGCTAATTTTTGTATTTTTGGTAGAGACGGGGTTTCACCAAGTTGCCAAGGCTGGTCTCAAACTTCTGGGCTCAAGCAATCCACCTGCCTTGGCCTACCAAAATGTTGGGATAACAGGCATAAGCCATCTCACCTGGCCAAGCAGTATCTTTCTAACTGGTATTCTGTTGTTACTCCTCCTCAATACCTCCTTGTCAAAAACATTTTTCTTATTTTCACCAGAATGTTTGATCTCTAAATTGCCAATCTGTCTCTTTTCTGCTTTGCTCCTTATCTGGAAAACACACCTCTTCACCTGAAAGCCACAATCCAAGCTCCTTAGCATAACACCCATGGCTCCTGCCACCTCCCCCTATTCTGTGTCCACTCTGTAGATGGTGATAGGACTAATTTCTCTGCAGTGGACTAGCACTCACCATGCAGCAGCATCTGTCTACATCATTGCCCGTTCTGTTCCTTTATCTACCATATGATTTCCTGCCCTCCCCTGGAAGGGCCAATTCCTACTCAATTAACATGGATGCCACCTCCCCAGAAGACTTTCCTGATGTATTAGCAATCTCTACATACCACTCTGAGAACTGATCCCATCCTATGGAAAGGATACATTTCCCATACTACCTTGTTCCTCTAGGTTCTAAACTCCTCAGAGCATGACCTGTTTGATTTGTGTTTGTAAAGAAAATCTTGTTAACACGCCTGGCACACAGTAGCTTCTCAGTAAATATTTGTCAAATTAGTTTTGCCAGCAGGTATAAAGCTGTTACTCTAGAATGGATAGAATAGATAGATAGTATGCCAGCAATCTACTCTGCCAACATAGTTATTGCACAATACTGGCTACTAGCACCCCATAGTATTAAGATAAGCTTGCACAGAATTCATAAGCTTTGGAACGTATGAAATAATGACTCTCAGTGTTTTTATTATAGTGCTGAATTTTTCATTCCTTTTAGCCTTTCTATCTTCCTTGATTTGTTTTTGTCCTTTGAAGAATCTCAAATATTCTTACAGAATCAATAATGAAAATATTATTTTCAAAACAGTGTGCCAACTAAAGAACATTCTTAAGCTTGCTAACTTTTTTTGAATGAATATAGCAAAGAAAAGAAGCTCAGAAGAAAGATACCACATAGAAGAATTGCTTTCATTATATAAAAACTAGGTCCCAACTTTTAAAAATGATTCTTTTTATCATTAAGGTTACTTAAAAAGTTCCAATCTGGAAAACTACTTGCACATGCCTTGCGCATAATAAGACTATTTATGTTCTTATGCATTAATTATTAACAAAATATGAACCTTGTTCTTCCTTTCTCTTTCATCAGAAAACCTTAAACCTGATGATAAGGAATAACATGGCCAAATATTATAATATATTAAGGAAGGGGGTTTTTAAGTAAGAATTAATCTTACTAAAAATGTGAGTAAATAAGAATAGAAATGGAATTATTTGCAGAAATGATCCTCCTGGCAGATACATAGATGCACTTTTAAGTGTCTATAATTACTATTAGAACAACAAAAAAATCAGTACTTATAAAAGAAAGCAAAAAAAAAAAAAACTGGTATAACAAAACCTATTTTCTCCTTAACAAAGTTTTACTGACAAGTACTGGTATTTAAAATCATATTTTCTTCTTGCTACATTAAGCTTTTCATTTAAAGTTAAAGTATACAGCTGTTTTCAAATAACTTTTTTTTTAACAAGCATTTAAACATTTATGCATCAAGATTCCCTCTATATAGGTAAATATACAAGGTCTTTGGGCTTAAAAAATATATATTCAAGTCAGAATGAGAAAAGAAAGAAAGTACCAACCTGTTGCAGTCGGCAGAGAGAAGCAGTCTTGAGTACAGGGTGTAAAATCAAATGACCTAACTCCAGCTACTTTTGTTTTCACTTTACACCCCGCCTTTATCTTGCATCCAAGAAGGGTTTCCTGAAATTCAATCTTGTGAGTACTTGATGTTTTATTTTCTGTAAAATGATCTGTGAAGTTAAATTCAGCTTCTTAAGTGGTTGAGGTTACAAATTCAAAAAAATTCCATCTTTTTCAAAAAACTATAGACCTTTCAAAGTTTCCACTTAGTCACAGTGGACAAAAAAGTGCCTGCAGCTGAGCTACTGACTGCTGAACCAGGAGAGTCCACCCAAGGGCATCTAGGCAGCACTTGTAGGTAGCATCTAGAGAAATACTCTCTAAATAGTTATTTTGTCTAGGAATGAAAGCAAATGTGATTTTAACCCAGAAAAATATCTTTTTGAAGACTAAATTATCAAAAACTAAATTATGAGTAATCATTAGGTATTTGCAATATAATTTAACATTTTTGTGCCGCATCATTTAATATTTACTTAAAACTACTAGACTCCTCCTGTTTTCACTGTACTTTGTCTATCTTTGCCCCAGTGTTTTCCCATGGCTTTATGCTCTCTTGTTTTCTTATTACCTTTTTTCCAAAGCCAGAGTATGAGCCTTCAAAATCCTTCAGTCTGGGAGGCTATTTATTTTTTCCACATTTCCACACAAATGAAAGTTAGAGAAAGAAGAGAAATTTATGCAGATTTGGCCCTCTTGGCCTATTTCAACTTGACTGTCCTCGAATTTGCATAGCAGTTGCCTAATCTATTTTTTCATGTGAGGTCAGGCTCAGTCCCCACCTGCAGAAATTATTTCAGACCATGCCATTTTTTCTTTCTTTTTTAAAAAGTATACTTGTAAGTTCAGGGGTACATGTGCAGGTTTGTTACACAGGTAAACGTGTATCATGGGGGTTTGTCGTGCAGATTATTTTATCACCCAGGTGTTAAGCCTAGTACCCATTAGTTATTTCTCCTGATCCTCTTCCTCCTTCCACCCTCTATGCTTTGATAGGCCCCATTGTGTTCCCCTCCATATGTCCATGTGTCCTCATCATTTAGCTCCCACTTATAAGTGAGCACATGTGGAATTTGGCTTTCTGTCCCTGTGTTAGTTTGCTAAGGGTAATGGCCTCCAGCTCTATCCACGTCCCTGCAAAGGACATAATCTCATTCTTTTTTGTGGCTGCATAGTATTCCATGGTGTATATGTACCACGTTTTCTTTATCCAGTCTGTCATTGATGGGTATTTAGGTTGATTCCATGTCTTTGCTGTTGTGTATAGTGCTGCAATGAACATACACATTCATGTGTCTTTATAATAGAATAATTTATGTTCCTTTGGGTGTATACCCAGTAATGGAATTGCTGGTTCAAATGATAGTTCTGTCTTTAGGTCTTTGAGGAATTCCCACACTGTTTTCCACAATGGTTGAACTAGTTTACACTCCCACCAACAGTGTATAAGCACTCCTTTTTCTTCACAACCTCACCAGCATCTGTAATTTTTTGAGTTTTTAATAATACCCATTCTGATGGTGTGAGATGGTATCTCTGTGATTTTGATTTGCATTTCTCTAACAATCAGTGATGTTTAGTTTTTTTCATATGATTGTTGGCGGTATATGTCTTTTTTTGAGAAGTGTCTGTTCACATCCTTTGCCCACTTTTTAATGGGGTTGTTTTTTTCTTGTAAATTTAAATTTCTTATAGATGGTAGATATTAGACCTTTGTTAGATCCATAGTTTACAAGGATTTTCTCCAATTCTGTAGGTTGTCTGCTTACTCTGTTGGTAGTTTCTTTTGCTGTGGAAAAGCCCTTCAGTTTAATTAGGTCCCATTTGTTATTTTTTGCTTCTATTGCATCTTCTTCATGAATTCTCATAGTAGCCTACAAGATCCCACAAGGTCTGCCTCTACCCCTCATTGTCTCTCTGACTTCATTTCACATTACTCACCCCTTTGCCTGCTTGTTCTGCCACACCCAGCTTCTTGCTGTTTTAGAGCATACCAGTCACAATCCTTATCGTGCTGGCTCCTCTGTCTGCATGGAATGTGCCGTGTCTGAGTAATTGCAAAGCTCACTTCCTCTTCTCTTTCAAGTGTTTGCCCAATCACCACCAGCTCACTGAGGCAATTCGTGACTACTCTTCTTAAAATACCCCTCATCCACCTGGACTCCAGTCCACCAGACCCACAGTACTTACCATGTTCTAATGCACCATGTCATTTATGCTATGATTGCTGTTGATTGTCTCACACCCTGTATTAGAACATAAGCTTCATCAGAACAGAGACTCTGGTTTGCTTTGTTCATTGATATATTCCAAGTACCAAGAATAGTGCCTTGCACATAATAAGTATTCAAAAATATTTTGAATTAATAGAAAAAACCTACTGTCCACTTTGATTATTATCTCATTTTACTTACCCTTGATGTTATACTTCTTTAACAACTAGTCTGTAACTGCAGCCTCCATAATTATCAATTAATAATCTCTTTAGTCTTTCTAAATGACACATAATACTGACTTGTAAGACTTTGCAAATACTGTTACTCCTGTCTAGAGTACTCTTCCCACCCTATTTTAGATCCCTAACTCCTATTTACAATTCAGATTTAGGTCTGACCTTAACATTAATCCAGGAAGCCTTCCCTAACCATTTGAGATTAAAACAGATATGCCTACTCTTCTATAGTCTTTTCACTGTGTTGTTGGTACTTATTAAAATTTCCTTTGTTCCATAGCTATCTTATACCCTGTTGTATCCTCAGCATTTGGCTTGGTACCTTCTTTATGGTACCAGCTTAATGAAAAATAATTAAATTTATGAATCAATCAACTGATGTTTAACTTATCCTCCACAGACATATAAGTTTAGCAATGGAGCTGGAATTCTGAATTCAGATCTTCAGTCAATTTTATCACATCTCTTTGTTATTTTATGATGCCATCTATTATAGAATCTTGATAATCTTTTATAGATTCATAAATATCTATCCCTTTCCTTTATTTACCCCACCCCCAACCACCATAAGCTTTCTCATAAATGGGATTCCTTGATTGTAAATCAGCTATAATGCTATAATCTTTACATCTTTTGAATTTGCATATTGTTTTTGCTAATTTAGGCACATGCAAAGCCCTTGAGGCATAGGGGATCTCAGAATTGAGCAAATTCTTCTGGTAGCATGTGTATGAATGCTGTGTATAAATCATGGTGTATGAATCATGGTGAAACTAGCTGACTGGCTGACCTTTTTCTGTATTTTCCTTTTCTCCTAATAGAACTAGGAGAGACAGTGGTAATAGAGGAGAATTGACAAAATATGAGAAGTAATCATGTAGCTTGGAGGGTAGGCAGATGCATCACTCATCTCAGGCAACTTTTCAAAGTACTTACTTGATGTTTTTTTAGCTCTCTTCTACTTCTCATGTCCCTAAGAACTGACTATGATTCCATTTTGCTGCTTATCATAAATGGGCTCCTACTCTTAACTCCCTAACATAGCAGTGTCCCTTGTTCTTAAAGAATTTCTCTCCCCACACCCATTTCTCATCCCTCCTCTTGTAGCATCATTTTGCTATGTTGCCCAGGCTGGTCTCCAACTCCTCTACTCAAACCATCCACCCATCCCAGCCTCCAAAAGTGCTGGGATGAATCTGTAATTTTGATGAATATTGCCAAATTGTACTCCATAGGGATAGTATTACTTTGTTCTCTACCAATAGTGTATGGAAGTGTCCGTTTTTCTAAAATACTGCCAATAGAATGTGTCGTTTTACTACCACTTTGCTTTCTGAATGGCTTGTAACAGATTCAGTGCCCCTTACCTACCCTTGCTAGGCATGTGTGGAATCCTGGATAATAAACTGCTATTGAATGTCTTCATTATTGCTGTATTCCACATTTATTTGATTAGTGGTAACATTAAACACTTCAAAAAATCTCTTATTCTTATTTTCTCTTTTTGCAGTTGTGTTCTTTCCCCATCTTTATACTGATTTTCAGGTATTCTTTAGAATTTAGGGAGCTAAGTATTGCATACATTTTGTCATAAATGTTGAAATATTTTCTCCTCCATTTTTTTTCCTTTTAATTTACTTTCTCATTTACAATAGTTTTATATAGACAAACCAACTGATCTTTTTATTTTGACTCTGATTTCATTTATCATTTTTAAGGTTTAAAATCCTTTCTCACCCAGAAATTTGATAACTATTAGATTATTTTTCTTCTAGTTTTTTCATGTCTTGACTTTTTTTAAAGTTTCAACTCTGATCCATTTGGGATTTATTTTGATGTAATCACATTCTATAGTAACAATAATAATAGAGCAGCTTGTAACATTATTACTTAATTCTTATTTAGATGTAAACATAGAAATGGATTCAGTGAATTTTGAAGATTTCCCTGTTAAAAATAACACACACTCTAAGAGAACACATGGGATTTTTTTCTTTAACTATGGAATAACTATGTACAATAATCATCTTTTTTCTCATAAGGGAAATTTTGTTGTAAAATAGTACTTAACCATGTAAAGCTTTTTACTCCAATTTGACTTGTTAGCATTAAAGCTAAAACCAAGTGAAGTTCCAGTGTTGCACCTCAGAAATTCAATGTTGGTAGAAGAAACAGCCTTGAGAATTTGTGGATGGCCAACTGTGCTTCATGTCTGTAATTGCTTACATCACTTTCTTAATTGTTACAAACCACATACTCAAAGGTCATTTTTTTTATCCACCTGTCGTTTCTCCTTTTATTAGAAAATGATTTTGCAGTTGTAAAAGCCTAAGAAATTAAAAATCATCAACTAACATCAGGGAAATGTAATTTTCAGCCTGACTTAATCCTGGGACTTCAACAGCCTTGAAATACCAGAGTGTCTGGACTAAAAACAAAATTACTTTATCTAGTCCATCTGTTTTCATTCATGAAAGCCTGTGACACAGCATATATGTTTAAACATTCTCTGTTTATTGGTCTATTCAGATTTCCTGTAATATATTTTATTTATGACATTGGGTATCCTGTTCATTAACTAAAATGGCACAAACAAGCAAAACTCTCTTTAAAAGAAGGTTGTTTCAGCTGCTGCACTTGCCAAATTCTGCTTGTAGCTAAAGGGCGATGATATATTTGGGAAGGATTTTTCTCATTTTTCTGAAACATCATTGTTAAGTACAAATATTTCAAATTCTATAAACTATGCATTCACCCTACTTCCTCTACTTACTGATGACAAAAGACATCCAACTTAAACATTATATTTTTTAGAATATTAATTGTTCTCCATATAAGATTGAACAAAACAGAATCAAAGAATTATTTGCCTTGCTTGTTGAGTTTCTTCAAAATTTACCTGATATCTGAAATTTCTGGGCATTTATATAAGGCAGTAGCAACATTTTTGTTTGTTTGCTTTGTTTTGAGACAAGGTCTCACTCTGTTGCCCAGGCTAGAATGCAGGGGCATGATCACAGCTCACTGCAACCTTGACTTCCCAGGGCTCAAGCAATCCTTCCACCTCAACC